TGCATATCAGGATTTTTACCAGGAAAACCGGTCACTGAATAATACAATGAAATTTTTATTTATTTCCTACATTGCAGTATTGTTACAACTAATGGAATACAATAATACTGTATAATAACTGGATGGATCTAAATAAACTACATACTTGTATTCTTGCCAGAGTTATATTCGGTATATTTGCTAGACTTTTTTCTTTTGAATAATCTATGCAGTTGATAAATATAAGTCATATTATTCGAAAAAGAATCTGGAAATTATGAAGAAAAAGCTATGTATTAATATCATAGAATTTTATAAAAATAAATTGCGATACACCGCAAAGAAATTCGTTCTGAACATTCGTGAAAATGCTGACTGCGCGATTTTTTGCTATTTCCGTCATTGCCGTCTGTAACTCCATAAGTGGGTCTTATACCGGCATTCCGCAGCTTCCAGTACCTCCGCGCAACGCAATGATGTAACGCGTTGAATAAGTGTCATGTAATCGCTGGTAGACGTTGCACCCAACCCCGCTTATTTCCCTTCGTTTGACATAATCATCGATGATTACGTACTGCAGATATATTAGATGAGAATTAATATAATTTTATTGAATGGTAATAGTAACTTTGAAAAGAGGTTGTATTTTATACATACATGCATCTTTTTATAGCAAACTTTCACTTTTTGTTTCAAGTGATTTTGTCTATCATTATTGTGACCACAATGATTATTGGGTTGAATTATATACCATGGCAAAATTGGATACTTACAATTAGACTACGCAATAGTGCGTACCAATGCGATTAGATCGATATACTCGATATATTGATCCGCCAACTGACACGCATAGTTTCTTGAGACTTTGGCAGGCTAACTGTCGCGCACGTTGAAATCATCGTCTTGGATTCGATACATCTCGGGAAACAGTTATCGCGCTCGTAAAAGTAAGCGAACCGTTAGCGATTGTTTCTCTATTACCTTCAATAATCTTGAGTAATGCCTTTCGTTCCGACAATTTACCAGCCGTTTCACGTAATCCACCGCGGAGAAACTAAACAAATGCCACTTTATTTAATCGTCTTTTATCTATTTAAATTTTTAATTTTGTATTATTTGCATTACCATACTAAAAGTGTATATATACAGAAATGATTATCAAGAAAGAAACGAGGAAAAAAGGAGATGATTAATTACTTTTTATATACATATATGCAAATTTGCGATGTGCACAATTTTCCTCGAAATGTTAGCAAAGTACTCATCGCTTGGTTTATTTGTTGTCTACAGTATCGTTAAAAGTGATTGCAGTAATTAGAGAAGTGTATATATATATATAGTGACCTTATATATTTAAAATGCAGACGAAATTAAAATTTTGTTTGCCAGTTACTTTGGGATGCATAAAAGTGCATGTACTTATAACATTTCCAATTAAAATTATGTTATTAAAGAGGATTTAAAATTTCTAATCACATTGTAATCAAAACAATATTTTTCGATTGTTATATGTATGGAAAATTAATTGAGTTATTAGATTATATAATCTATTATTATTATTTTATAAGAATTTAGATTATTTTATAAAAACTATATGTTCGTAAAATAATCTAATAAAATTTAATTCTTACTCTAAGTGTCTTTATGAATAGTGCGTTTAATTTGTACTAACAATTATTTAAGTCTTCTTTAAAAAGTACTTGAATTATTTGTCTTTAAAAATTTATCTTATCGATTAGAAATTGACAGTAGTGTGGTAATGGATTTAGGCGATTATACACAGAGTACAAATATTCATAGATCAAATGTCCAAACCTCGATAGGCATGCTTCTCCATTGCTTGACTTTGTACGTATATATGTACACTATATACATGACTGTGGCACAGCCTATACAGTTAGGAAACTGGTTTTCGCCTCCTCTTGCGTCAAGCCGTACTACTCATATGATCGAAGCCATTTCGCACATTGGTACAGTTCTCATTGTATTATCTTTACATATAAATAGTATCTCGCATCTACGAATGACGTACAGAGTTCTTAAATGTCGTTTTATAATTTATGGAAGGTGTCAGAATCGTTTTTCCATCACATTTTAGGGACGATTATTTTTAGTCATTAAGGCGCAATTTCTAATAATTACTCGCACGTGAGAAAAGTCTAACTTTACCTATATACTGTCTTTATTTAGCTTGATAACGTCAAAGAGCGAAATATATACGAATTCAAGATACGAAACGTTAAAGTAGGGCAAGACGCACATGGATCACATTTTAGGAAACACGCTAATTTCATGTATTTGTTCAACAGGATAGAAAATACGATTAACGGTTTCGAGCATCGTACTTTAGCAGGGATTGACCGGCTTTAATTATTCTCAAGTTAATCGCTGTCCAACTATTGAACTCGTGGAACCTTTCAGAAAGCGGTCCAGCTTAAGTACTGGGGTAAAGCCTACTTAACGTAACGTGGTTGATTGCCGTGCTGTATACATATATATATACGACATATGTCGAGCATCTAGTTACCGTTCCGACGAAGTAGATTTCTGCGGATCGTTTGAGGAAACTACTCTAGACAACGTTGATACCGTGGCAACGCATTGCTTGACCCGAATTTATCGTGTCACTGAATTTGCGAACGTAATGCCTCTTCATTTATCTTAGCCCTATCTCCGCCATTGCCTTTGACCTGCATTCGTATCTCTATTGTGCTTCGCATTTAACGCTAAATACGATTTGATTCTGAATTCCGTTTGCCATATTCATACGAATGTCTTATTCATTGTAAACACGGACTGAGAATAAGGCGGCAATATATGCCACGCTAAGCGGGGAATTACCGCTAACGAAGTATTTGCACATTCATCCAATACGTATTCCATTACACTTAACTTGTATTAATAAACTAATAGTGATATCGCAATTACTATTTATAATTATGTAATACAATATTAAATTATAAATAATAATTGTGTGGAGGTATTAAATTAATTGCAGATGATTTGTGATTATGTAATTTATGTTTTATGTTATATTATTACAGAAACTACATATCTCTTTTTTAATTACCAAATTATTTAAAAAATTTAGTAATTAAATTATTGTTTATAGTATTAAGGAACATTAATAAAAGTTAGGATTAATACAGATACATACATATATATCCAAATTAAATAATATTTATTTACAATTATCGTTTAAATAATATCGGTTAATTATTGCCAATATTTTGACTTGACACAGTTAATATTTCTTATCCCAAGATAAATTTCATCAAAGTTGAATTTTTGCGCATCACGCTTATATTCATGTGACAATCATGCTTGTCACAAAATGTCAGAACCGTTTTACAATAAAACGGGAAAAACGGGGTGTGCTTTCAGACGAAAACACACTTTCTCCGAATTGCCGTGCCATATCCGAATACATTTTGGAGCCAAGCCAGAACATTTTGAAAAGGAACCAGAGCAGTAACTGTTGCGAGTTTTCTTCGCCACCGCGTTCCTTCTGTCGTTCGGTAAAGCACAAAAGGCTTTAAGGCAATGAATATATGCAGGTAGTGACACGGAAAGCTTCACCGAGACTTGGCCTAGAGCGTTTCCTGTGATATGCAATTGCGACGCACACTATGTTAGATGTACACGTTTGCGGGAAGAAGACAATGAATGAAGTACGAAGTGCATGGCGCATGCACACACACACACACACACACACACACACACACACACATATATATATATACGCGATATATTGACTCATAACGTGTATGAACTGTAAGCAAATATCAAAAGCTGTCGAAACGATTGGAAAATGGGCGAGTGAATTTTATGAGAGAAATTCAATTTTGTTAATTGACTGAATCGAAAAAGAAAATATTAATTATCTTTCGCAGAGATGATAATCATTTTAATGATATTTGAAGAATCAATTTATCAGTTTTATCAACAATTTTATTTTTCAAATATTTAAAATGCGAAAAAAACATAAAATGGAAAAAAACGTGAAATTGAATCTATTGCCCATGAAAATTTCCCGATAGACGGAATAGAACATCTTGAAATCTCTTTCTCTCTTCAGAATGAAAATCGCGCCAGACATACATTTAATCAGCTTCGTCGTTCGCACCAAAGCGGATTGCGAGAAAACCAGGTCGGGGATCACATCAACTAGTAACAAAAAGACTGATACGATCTCAAGAAGGTCTATACGTATTTGAAGAATTTAAGAATGCCCCGACATTCTATCGACTTCGCGTTTGTTCTTTCAACCTTCGCGAGAATTTCGGCGATTTTTGCTAAGGTATTGCAAATTCTTTAAACATTCTGTATATTCCTTGCCGTTCTTAGTACGTTGAACTGGCGCTCTCTGTCAATTTTTATAGTCTGTGCCAGCGTGTAGTTCCAAATATAAACTCCTTGAATGCGTCCGTGCTATCCATTCTCAGTCGCTGGCTGTGGCGGAGAGTTTATTTTCTAGTTTCGTGACACGTGCACGCGAATACCGTCCTCTTTCATGGAACCTTTCGGTAGTCTCGGCGCGAGCTTTTCATTCAGTGTTCAAATGGTGCCGATATCAGTTTCCGAATATTGTTAACGAGTTGGCCAATCGATTGTAACCAGTGTAAACGACGAATTGATTTACTGGATTGCTAATTATGACTTTTCGAAATGCCAATGCATCAAATGCAGATGCGATATTGTTATCGTTTCTTTGCTGCTCTTGTTTTAATTTAAAAAAAAAAAAAGTAGAATAATATTACCCATGTAGCAAAGAGGTAGAAGTAATATTGCATAATGAATTTAATGGTCTAGATAGAGTTACACAAAAACGAAATTTCGTACTCGGAAATAGCGAGCAAATTATGACTTTTGAAATATTAAATTAGACACGTGAGACATCATCATTTGCATTAAAAGATAAGCACCTCTCTCGAGTTGTTTTACATCCATATATATGTATATGTACCTCTTTCGCAGAAATGTGTATATTTAAGACTACACGCTCTCTCTCTCTTATAAATAGAACGTAATTAAAAATAGATTTAAATCAATGCAGTCCAATGTCAATTAAAAAGATAAACGCATAGTTCGCTAAAAAAGTGTCGGAATTTTCAAGTCAAGTGGAACACAAAAATTTACGTACGTTCAGTAAAAATTCTTTGTTCGACGCAAGGATATGAGCATGTCGAAATTTTTTCGCAAACTAATTTTTTGCGGCTGCTCGTCGCGTTCGGATTACGATAGCCGATCGATCGTTGTCGACGAATCGATCGTCGACGATCCTCCACCGAAATTCACGGAGGCCTCGAATTACGAACTGGAACCCGATGACGTGGCGAAGCATTTTGATCTGTCCACTATAAAATTCATCGACGACGAGGAAGCCGACGAAGATGCGGCCTGCACTAAGAACGGTAGCCGACGATCGATTAGATTTTTCTTTTTTTATAGAAAAGTGGGTTGATACGCGGTAGGTCCGTAGTTATTCCCCGCTAAGGGACGATATAAATAAATCGATGGGCAAAAAGTTACGAGGACAATGTGGACTTTATGCGCGCGTGCACAAAGTCGTTTTTCGTCGCGCGATGGCGGCGAATTCAGTCGTCGCGTCGCGTGTCGCATAAAGATAATTTTCGCTATATTCTGAAAGAAATAACAGGACCTCGGATTACCGAGGACGGGAATAAAGAAAAGAAAAAAAGAAAAAAAAAAAAGAATGCCCGCAACGTGGTCTCCTCCCGCGAAAGTAAAAGGAAAAATGAAAGGAAAGCGCTGCCCGTGCGAGAGAGATATTAAATTAATGGAAACACGGTGAGCCTCTCGCGCGGAGTAAATGAGAAACGAAGGGAATTTGTCAGGCTTATGCGAGAAAGAAAAACGGGGATGCGCTTCACTTATTTCCATTCACCTCCGTTACACGGCCGCCGCTATATTTGACTATAGCCGTGGCCCGGTAATGGTTTCTTTGACGCGTGTTAAATGCGCGATAAATTTGCCTAATTAATTCTTCGTGAATTCCCGACAGAGGAGCTGGACGGGCCGAACGGAAGTGGGCGGATACGAGACGCCTGGGTTATCGCCGTCGAAAGGTGAGAGAGAGAGATATACTTTTTATACTAAACTCTAAAGTATAAAAGGGACGGGTGCACATCTTGAGCGCAACGTTATAGCCGTACGTCTACGTTGTATACGTGACATAATGTACACACGTATGCGAGATCTAGTGCCCCGCTTCTAGTAAATACATTCCTGTCGGGGCGGAATCGTGTATCGATTAAACGTCACATAAAAGGCGGCAGTGTCCAGCGGGCGAACGTGTTTTTGATCGAACGAGAGAATGCGTCATCTAAATGTCACGAGAATCGCTCGAAAGCAGCATGCGTTCGAATCGAGCCGATAATGACAGCTCGTGATGAGGTGTCGTAAAATCAGGGAATTCGCTCTCCCCGGTATCTTCTCTCTCGGTTTTTTTTTTTTTTTTTTACTCTTTACTAATATCGATCCAGTTGACGTTATCCTTTGTAGACGCGGTATGATATTACTATTAGCAGCGCGATATTAATAATACGATAGAATTAATTTTCTTAATTCATGTTACTTATTCTATTATCATTTTTTTTCTCGAATGCAAAATCTGTTATTATATTTAATCCGTTCGGAGACGCGATTTATTTCGATCGTGAAAAGACCGAACCGTTCGATTGTACGACTCATCTGAGAAAATTACGTCCATTAAATTGCTTCGGATTGCCTGATTAACTTCTGTGAAAGTACATTTAATGAGAACGGATAATCACTCGTCGCCGTCGCGAATAAGATTTCACAAAAGATTTCAGTAGTAATTTGCAAACACAGAGTCGTGTCGCGCGCGTTTGTCGAGAAAGGTAGAAGAGAAGCGTCGAACGAAAACACGAAACTTTCGTGCGCGATAAAGGATTGACTTCCGTGACTCACTTCGGTATCTCGTTCGACTTCCCAAGGATAAGCGGCGACAAGCTTTTCAAACGGACGTTTCTTCTGTTCGCAGGAACGCGAGGGAGAGGCTGCAGAAATTGACGGCACTCCAGAAGATCCAACCGCGCGACATCCATAGCATTTTACATCAACGGGTATGTAAGAACGAGACACGTAATTAGTCAAATTGCCTGTTAATATCATGTTCGAACGATTCGATGGCCCCGCCGAGATACGATCTCGTGCACCTCTCACACTGTGCCGAATAAAAGAAATCATCTTTTTACACAGATTGCGCCGGAGCCGGTTTTTAGATCCACCGTTGCGTTCAATTTTTCTCTCATAGTTCTGGAAGATTTTTTAATCAATTGTTACATATGTCTGGCTGCTTTCCGTAAAAAAAAATATATATATATATATAAACGAAACGTTACCGTTAATACGCCGCGTTCCGCCAGGCGGTTTTATATCACGTTCGATCTTCTCTTATTTTTAGAGATCCCCACGTTAATTATTCAACAAAATAATATTTAACTCGCTTAAAAATTTCTCTATTTATGCGATACGCCTTAAAATCAATTTCCGCCCGTGACCTTAATCCGCTGTTGACAGCGCGAGTAACAGTCAAAGATGTTACGTTAAAAGACATCGCACGTTTCTCGTGTACGTTTCTTCCGGCGATTCTTATCGTTTATACTCGTACACGGCGACGTATCCGCGTGCAAATGAATCGATCGGCCGCGAGCGAGCGGAGTCGTCACGGAGGCTGCTTATGAAATGTGGAATATGCCAAGCAAATGAGCGCGGAGTGAGAGGCGGATGGTGATTATGCGCGGCCTTGTTTACAGGAGTGTATCGAGTAAGCGTGTGCGTTTCTCATTGCATCGCGTTATATACAAAACGCGTCGCTCGCTCGCGCGATTCTTTGCGACCGTCCGAAACCTTTGGGCACTTCGGTTTACGCAATAATGAGTTTCGCCGATGACACCCTCGTGATTTTAGCCATGACGCTAAAGAGTTACGTCGTCATTGTGGGGAAATTACGCGGAAAATATAATATGCGCTCTGAGAAGAGAAAGAGAGGGAATTCCTCGCCCTCGAGCGTATTATCGTAAGCACAATGCGCGACAATGCGACTCGCGGCAGCGTTGCGAGAGTTAAGCTGTCCGAGCTGTATTGATACCCGACGTTTTCGCTGAGTTGGTGAACCGAGCGACAAATATTGGTGCCATCCGACACTTCACTCAAAAGTATCGTACTTTTGAGCAGTGACGGGAACCGATATAATCCCGGTGAACGCCGACGCTACAGACGCGTGAAAATACTTTCAAGTTTTCGTCCGACAGATTCTTTTTTCCTATTTCAACATTTTTATATTTATTATCGAGAATAAAACAAAAATCGTATCTAGAAAAATCTAGTTAAATAGATGAAAGTAAACTATTCTATTCACTTTTGGACGATAGATTTTTTTTTAGTTCTGAAATATAGAGATCGTTTATTGAAATTGACTTGAATCTCTCCGAGAGCGATTAATAATGCCATAATTCTGCCTCAGGTTATAATTCTACATCCAAATACATTTCCAGTTGAATATGAGTTGGTGAAAATTGACTTTATTCACTCTTGCATTTAAACCCGCTTCGATCAAGAACTATTACATTAGTGAAAGTTCAACTTCAACTAACGTTTGTGGCTTATATTATAGAAATAATTTTCGTGATATTGTGTCATAATGTTATATTTTTATAATTATAATTATAAAAATTTTATAATTATAAAAATTTCTTTTTTTATCTTTTTCGAGAGATACTCATCGAACATTAACGATCATTTGGAAACCGGTTCGTCTGAGAAAAGTTTCGCGCATTGTTGTTATTAACCGCGTTCCGACGGAGATATTTTAAGGTCGCATGCGGGATCGTTTCGCGTGATCGCGATACGGCATGCGGGTTAAAATCTCGCGTAAGCAGGCACGCATCGGGTTCTCACATATCGCGCGAAACACATCTCGGAACGGAAACCGTACGAGAATGTCGTAACACAACCGTTAACGAGTTTTCTTGATATTACGGTTCGTATCATTCCCAGCACGATTAGCCGTATCGCTATCAACAATGCGGCATATTATTCCCTAGCTCTCTTTATATCAGTGCGTAATTCGAGTAAGTGGAAGATGGGCTAAGAGACCTTCGGTTAATTGTCGACGATGGTGGTGCCATTTGGGAAATTGTCTGGCCATTTTGCCACGTCAGTTTTTCCACAATATTAATGTTAGAATGTATTAAGATATATGAACAAGGTGCTTAAGACATTTCAGGTTGATGAGATTTTCTCTAAATTGCTATGTCGTACATCTACATGTAATCTCTATTTAGACAATGTATAACACCATTTCAAAATGATAACTCAATTTTCTATTGCTATAAATAGACGAAATTTTAGTGATATAAGAATATATTATATAATGTGTAATTTATAATATTTATATTATTTGAATGAAAAAAGATAAACTCTGTGGAAGATTATTTACATACTATTTTTTTTTCACATTACTTTATTTTTAAAGATATTTTTCAGCAAAACGAAATTAAATTATGAACGAAATTTCGTACTGCTATCATATATTTAAAAAAAAAAAAATATTTTAAAAAGAAAAATAATTGTTCTTTTTCAGAATGATATCAAGTCGTTACTCACTAAATATGAATGATTGATTTCGGATTTTACTCAATAACGTGTTGTATAATGTTAACGAAATTATTACATTTTATACGAATTAGTTTATTAGAGAATTATGTTCTTCAGAAGGAATGTAAAGCGACATAAGCGAGTTGCAAATTTACACGTCGCGTTGGAGACAGAGATAAACACGAGGATCGTATTTTGCTCAGAAATGTGCGGAAGCACGATAAAAATAAAATGAAACTGTGCGATCAGCCATTTTTTATAAAACTAAATTGAATACGTACTATCATAGCGTGATTGTGACAACTCTTTATACAATCAAATTTTCAATCATCGTAACCAAATAAAAAAATTGCAAATACGCTAGAATTTATTGTTTGTCATAGCCTTTTTGCAAAAAATTAGCACGCAACATTTGGTGTGGTATTACTGAAATAAAGGTATTATTGCGATGTTAGTTAATTTCTGGATCAATTTCGTCGAGAATAAAATTCAGTGAGAATCATAGATATATTACGGATCACTTTTCGTTATTGTTTCAGACAATAAATTCAGTAGCGTCCACGAGCGAAGACTCCACTTCAAAAGACGTATCGAATGGCCAAATTACGGTTACTTTGGCGGACAAGTAAGTCACTTTTCTTCTTTTTATATTGTTACTAAACTTTGTTATAGACAAAGAGAGAGAGAGAGAGGGGGGGTCTCTCTCTCTCTCTCTCTCTCATTATTCCTTAATAATGAGAAGAAAACTTAATGGGACTTCTTATAAAAAAAATTTCACTCTTAAATTTACACTTAATGTCAGAATTCTCAGGATCTCAGGATCGATTAAAAACAATTTGTATCGTGGATACAGTAGAATGATGTCGTTCCACAGGCGCAATACTTGTAATTAATTTCCGAAGACTTAATATCCCCTGGGATGTTCCTGTCAAAGCATAATAAACCAACGTCTGTGTAGCAAGCGAGAAAATATATGCGGCGCCTATAGGAGGCATCGTAACCGACCGGATGTGACAAATTGCGATTGTCGTGATTGATATCCTTTCACAATGCCGATACGTTCGCGCGGCCCATTTTTATTTCGTACAATAGAGAAAGTCGGAGAATTTTCTATGTTATAATTATTACTTATTGGCGACTGGTTGATTAATTTGATTGTCACAAATTAATTAATCCATCCTTGTCTTAATTGTTTCAGGGAATTGGAGACGAATTCTTTTTCCACCAAACTTAGCAACGGTACGATTCCCAAGGGATTAGGAAAAGAGGCGGATATCCGAGTGGAAAACACCTCGCAGGAGCGGAAGGACTCTTTAGAGAAGCAACACAGCTGCGAAGAGACGAACCTCTTGGTAATGTAAACTTACAGTTTGCTTTAGAAGTGTAGAAATACAAGGGGAAAAACAGTATTTGGGTAATTTATTCTTTAAAAGACTTTAATATACATGTAAACAAATTTAGTTTTTAATTAGAGGATAATTATTAAAGAGATGTTTATTTTTAAATATCCGCAGTAACATTAAAATGATTAAATATAACATTAGATTAAATTTTCATGATGAATTTTGAAGCATAAACAAAAAAATTGGGAAAGTATACATAATATAGGTGTAACATATACATTATATATTAATTAGCAGATATTTAATTATATTAATACTGTAGATTTTTCCCTTACGTTTTTTCCCAACATTACGTTATGTCGACACTAATCGCTTGTCGCTTGCATAAGCAACATCCGTAGGATTTCTTAAGTAATTATTAAACAGTTTCCGGAATAGTAAATCGCCATCAGTAATTTATCACACTTAATTGCCAACATTAGGCACGTTAAATGGGAGTCTTCACGAGGCTATTGTTATTTATTGTTCCGTAAAACGTGTTGTTTCTCCAAATTAATCGTCAGGCAACAACCATTTTTCTTTATAAATATTTTCTCATATACATTTATGCTAAATGAGAATTCGAGTCGAGAACGACTCTATTTGTTAAACAATTCGAGTACGTTTAACACATCAATCAATAATCAGTTATGGAGATTTATGTATTGAATCAACCGGGTATGCATAGATCAATCGGATTATCAAATTGTGCATTTTATTTTAAATTAATCTTTCATCTACAACTGAAATTTTTCTGATTACCATTGATATTTTGATTGTGTATTTTAGATAAATTTAAATCTATAAAAAATAAGTAAATTACAATCCAAATTTTATCCGAATGATAATAAAAAGCTGCGATTAAATCTTCGACCAGTTACAAGAAGAACAAGACAGTCAAAATAACATCATATTGACTGAATTATGTTTAAAAAAATGACATAAATTCAGTCAATATGATATCAAATTGACATTATTTTGACTTCCTTGTTTGCCTTGGAGTTATCAGGATTTTATCAAATTTTTATATAATCTAGAACAACAAAAAAATTAATCTGTTTCTCGAAGACCCCTATATTGTTGATGGAAGAGTTAAAATTCATATTGCGACAAAATGAATTTAAGTTTTTTAGAAATATAGCAAAATTTTTATTAGCTGCAAAGATAGCTAAAGTTAACTAAACGTCCGAGCAAGCTTAGGATGAAATCCGCTAACTCGAAGAGCCTGTAGATAAAAGATGTGATAAACTGTACGGTGTTTCGTACGGATGTTCCGTGTGTCAATTCACGAAGACATACAACTTGCGTTCGTTTGCCCGACAGCAACCGATACAGAGCGGAAGAATCGGGGAACGACGGTCGAGCAGCCCTTTCCAAAATGGTCGAACGGAAGTGCTGATTGGCGAACCGGAGGGCGGCCCGAGGTCGCCGCGGGGATCGACGTCTTCGGCGGTGAACGACGGCAATTTCCTGAATCCACCGGACGAGCGAGACGAACCAATTTGCAGGTAAGTACATTCGACTGTAAGCGCGATCGAGGACGAACTTTTATGCCCCCGTGTCCTCCAGGTCAAATCGACTTCTCGTCGTTGTAGCCACCGTCCTTTACGTTTCCATCGGGTCATCCTGTAGCGTTTGTATGCGCCGTTATTCGTCGCTTAACTCACTAAACGATGACCATCCCGTTCGCCTTTATAGCCTGAGATAAAAGTTTTTATCGTCCGTTCTCGAAACCGCTCGTTAATATTATCGTTACTTATTTGACCACATAATTGATCACGATTTAATAGAATGATCGAGACGTAATTTAGTGCGAGCGAGTCGCACTTCTTAATAGTTATTTCGAGTAATCGCTTTTCCAATCGGGATTTGTGATTTCAATGTTATCTATTCTAATGTACGTCTCTCTTGGAGAGATGATTGTTTAATGAAGAGAGTGATTCGATGAATTACTTGGATCTATATTGAATTACTCGTGGATCCCCGCGTTCTCTGCTTTACCGCGATAGCGAAGCATAAATTCAGTCGATGTCCGTTGGATGTCGCCATCAACATACTTGGAGTGCGATTTTTTTTAAATTCCCAGAAGAATGACTGAGATCCGCACACGTATTTGGATTTAGCAAACTCCATACACTACTAACGTTCGTACATTTATATACATCCACATACATACTTTTATAAACGATAGCAATGAACATTTGTGGAAAAGAAGAAGCAAGGTGCAATTTCATTTGAAAACACTAAAAAGAATAAGACAAGATATATACGTGTAGATGGAGCAAGATAGCTCATAGTAGGACAGTGGGAAGTCTAGAACTCATTTTTTTCATTATATTCTTTAATTAAAACCGGTTACGAGTTTTAGAAAAGTTACGAGTTAAGAATAATGCGAGAAAAAAAAAGAATGTGACACAGTTTTAGCACCGGATCGTTTTTATTTTGCAATGCGATATTTCTCGACGCTGCATCTAATGCCGCTTTTTCTTCTCAGTTGTCGCATTAGCATAGCGACTTTATTAAACATTGTTACATAAAATTATTACGTGAAATGTGTACGTTAAATCTCAATATATACGTTAAAATCTCATGTTACTTACGCGATTGAATTGTTTAAACGCAATTCTATTACAACTATAAAACATTTCTCGAAATCACTGGCTTCAATTAAAAAAATAAAATAATTTTAAACTCACTGACCGAAATGAAATTAGTGTCCTACATTTTTACATTAGGAAAGGATTTTCGAAGCGAATTCATTTTACACGGCGCATTCCGCGCTCGTAATAACCTAATAACATTCAGTTCCGAGGTATTGCGGAGATGTACGTTCAACTCGATGTAAAAATGCGAGCGATTATCCGATCTGCGATAAACTACGAACAAGTGGGCTAATCTGAAATGCGCCTTAGAAGAGTGCGATCATAGTGGAATCGATTCCGTGGAGAGAGTCGCATCTCCGGTCGGTCGGTAGATCAAATATGTCCCCTCCCCCCCCTCTCTCTCTCTCTCTCTCTCTCTCTCCTTCTTTCTCTCCCGCAGATATAGAGATGGTCCGCTGGAATCTGCGGCGCGACTCGAGCACTTGGAAGTGCAGGCTGGCAGCCTCACTCGACGAAGTCACTTCGCCGGTATTTCACGCTCGCGACACACCCACCTGAGCCGGTGTGAGTGCAGCCTAAACAATGCGTTTTCCAGCTCCTCGGTATGCAGTTCGACAGAGCTCTCTGCCCCGCTAATCCCTCATTCTCTCTTCTTTTCTACCTTCGCTGAATTTCGCGCTCTTTCTCCCTCCCTCTTCTCTTTGTCTCTTTTCCTCTGCAGCCTCTCACTTTCTCTCCTCTCCTCTTTCTCTCTTCTCCTCTTCGTGCATTCTAACGTGACACGAAATGGATACACGGCGTAAGGCGGAGAGGAGAAAGAGAGAGAGAGAGAGAGAGAGAGAGAGAGAGAGAGAGAGATTTCTTTCAAGTGCGACGGCACGAGTAGCTGGTGCTCGTACTCGTATACAAGCTTCTCTAATTTTGCAACGAACGAAGAAATTTCATTCCACCAACTTCGTACCTACCAACTTCTTTTTTGTTTTAGTTCCACGATTAATGCATCCTCTTTGAGAAGAGTGTATTATCTCGCGCGCTCAATGCTTTAGGAGTCATTTTGCTAAGAGTTCGTCTTCTTATTCGTTTTGTTATTCATCTTCTCGTTCTCCTTCTTTCACTTCTTCCTCTTCTTCCTCTTCGTGCTTTCCTCGGATGCGGGCTCTCTCGAAATGTAATCTTTTGCAAGTTTTCCGCCGCATGACTGGTTCCCGTGTTGTTTTCACGCTCTCTCATAACTGCCCGCATTGTCCGCTTTTAATTCTCCAACTTAATAAACTGAACGCGTCGACCGTCCGTCGAGGTTTGTCCTCGGCTTAGACAGTTAATACTTTACGACACGGTACGTCGCGTCGGAGCGGATGATGCGTTCGGGAGAAAGGTAGACAATAATTAACACCATGGATTATTAATGGTACGAGGAAAGTTTAACGGTGTAATAATGAAACACGTTGACGGATCCGTTCTATATGAGCGGAACGCCGTCAATTTATTCACGAGCTTGCGCCCAGGTGCATCATATCGCTCAGGTGCGAATGAATGTGCCCTATTGACACGGGGTACTTTTAAATAACGAGAGGTCGCTTCGGTGAATGGTCCGAAAATAAACTCGTGAAATGTCCACCGGTCTCGTAAACTAGTCTGCAATCCTATGAAGAGTCTACCATCGCTCTTCTTTGGAAAGATGAGATCGTGATCGGGGATCATCACCCTCCCCCCGCTCCTGTCCCCGCGAGTGCCCCAGTTTCCCTGCTTTAAAGCAAGATGCATCTCATGCGAGACACGTCCTAAAAGCCCGTAGTTATTGCGGCTGACGCATTTTTTGGCATGCGTACAGAATTCCATTTGCGGAAGCCGGTTTTTGCATTAGTATACATTGCAACGACCCAAATGCAATCCTCGTGCTTTTTCCAAAGTCTTTTTTTTTTTTGTTTTTTTAATCGCGTGCAATGGATATCCCCGGAAAATATTTGGTGATATTTCCGACAAGACCTTATCGCTTGTTTAACGCTGTCAAAATATTTGATGAAAAAATTGGATAAAAAATGAAAGGAAAAAAACAGTATACAAAATTTGCGGTGATCCATTAAATTTATCAAGCAAATAATGCCTTTTAGCGATAAATACCGAATGTACAGCCTCATACTTCGTAATTTTATGTCCGTTATCCATATCCATGTCCGATATCGATTCGCTCCTTCGTAATCGATATCGTCCGTGCCCGGCAACTGCGTTTATGTTTATGCGCGTCCGGTTGGAACGGTGACATTTTTTCACGTCGTAGTAGCATTGAACAGCTCACAATCAGCGATTACCTTAAAAGAACGAATGTATCGTGATCTATAAAGTCACCTTCGACGACGTATTGCGTTAAATCAGAATACATCATACACCCATTAATTAGAACTACATATAATTATTTGTATCTCGTCCATTTCCATGTAGATATCTTTTCCATGTATTAATTAAAACTAAACATCAATTTTATCTACGTCTTTGGAAGTAGATAGAAATATTCTAAAAATTTCACGTACGTCAATCAAATATCAATTGTATTTACATCTCGTTTTTAGAAATAGAAAATATATTTTTATCTTAATATAAATAATTATAACAAACGTGGTTTATAAATCAAAACATACAAAAAGAGGAGCACAAAACTACACAATCTGACCATCTTCAGTAAAATAACAAATACCATAACAAATACAATAACAATACAGTAAAACGCAAAATTTACAAAAATCTGACATTAAATTCAGCAATGCCATGTTATACGATGTACCTTTACAAGATGAAAGAACACGTTTATTCATACTTATATTTTTAACGGTTGAATTTATTGTGGCCGAAACATCTAAAGATTTTTTATTGATGTATATAACGATTTATTAAATCTCACAAACAATATCTAGTGCTGTGATTTTATGCTCCTCTTTTTGTATACTTATCTTAATATTGTAATCAATACGACTTTGAAAATTGCAAATAGAGCTACATTTTACATTAAAACTCGATTACAGCATCACAATCTCTGATTAATTTGTGAAATATTAACTACAAAATTTTGTAGAATGATCTCTCAGCTTCAAATCTACCATTCCTGCATTAACACACTTACTGAAAAAAAGATTAATTAAATAAAAAAATTAATTAAAGACAAGAAAAAAATGATTAGCCGCGAGCATTGTAAGTTCGGCTGATCAATCTGATCGTGAATCCGCACGCGAAAACCTTCGCGAACGGCGTGTCCGCGAGTGTTTTTCCGCGTGGCAAGAAAGGATGACAATCCGTGCGCGTACGTGCGAGACGCACGGCCGTTTGCCGTGATTTGCACGACGTAGGGGCAGGAGAAAGAGGCGAGCAAATTCGAAGCGCATTCCCCGCGATTGAACGTGTTCCTACTGCCGGCAGTGCCAGCGTAACTGTAGCCAGAGCTATAGTACGTCTCGTTATAACGTGCGCGCGTTCTCTACAATATTGCGGCCCGCTGTGTGTGACACAGCCACACGGAATACCGATTGCTCATTCTCCCATGGCGTTTCCTGTTCCGACCACGTATATCCCGCTTTCAAAATAAAAAAAAAAAAAAAAGAAAACAAGAAGAGAAATACATACGCGCGGAAGGAGGAAGAGGATAGCGATGCGCGGATGGACGAGCTGTCGCGGGAAGGTGGAACAGCGAGAGGAGAGAGAGAGAGAGAGAGAGAGAGAGAGAGAGAGAGAGAGAGAGGGAGAGAGAGAGGATCGACCAGGGGATAGTAGGGAGGAGGATATAGGTGGTGCAACGTGGATGTGTGACGAGGATCGGCGACGTTGTGTATATGTACTGACGACACGCCTGCTGCCCATTGTTCACGTCTAACACATTATGCGCATCATTCATGGCCTTTTACGCCCGAGCCTCGCGT